CCCCCCCCCCACCGCGCTGTCAGGGTGGGGGGCACCCCCCTGCACCCCGCATCAGGATGAGCCACCCTGGGGGGAGGGGAGCGTGGGCGACCAGAGAGGAACTTTTGGTTCAGTTTGGGGTTTTTTTTCTAATAAAGATGTGAAAGCGAGATGGGCGCAGTGCTGGGCGCCGGGCTGGGGCGGGGGGGGAGTTGTGGGGTGCCCCCATGGCTTGGGGGGGCCATGAGGTGCCCCTGCTCCTGGGCAGGGTGAGGGTCCCCCAGGGTGCTCCTTCTCCCAGGTGAGCCGGGGGACCATGGGGTGCCCTTTCTTCCAGGTAGGTTGGAGATCCACATGGTGCTCCTTCTTTTGGGTGAGCCGGGGGTCCATGGGGTGTTCCTGGACAAGTTGGGGGTCCATGGGGTGCCCCTGGGCAGGCTGGGGGTCCGTGAGGTGCTCCTTCTCCCGGGCAGGTTGAGGGTCCCAACGGTGCTCCTTCTCCTGGGTGAACTGGGTGTCCATGGGGTGCCCTTTCTCCTGGGCAGGTTGATGGTCCCCAGGGTGCTCCTTCTCCCAGTCAAGTTGGGTGTCCATGGGGTGACCCTTCTCCTTGGTGAGCAGAGTGTCTGTGGGGTGTCCCTGGGGAAGTTGGACCTCCATGGGTGCCCCTTCTTCTACATAGGCTGGAGGTCCACAGGCTGCTCCTTCTCTAGGGTGACCTGGGGCTCCATGGTAGGTTGGAGGTCCAGATGGTGCTCCTTCTTCTGGGTGAGCTGGAGGTCCGTGGGATGTCTCTGGGGAAGTTGGACCTCCGTGGGTGCTCCTTCTTCCAAGTAGGCTGGAGGTCCACGGGATGCTCTTTCTTCAGGGTGACCTGGGGCTCCATGGGGTGCCCCTGGGCAGGTTAGGGATCCATGGGGTGCCCCTTCTTCCAGGTAGGTTGGAGGTCCACAGGGTCCTCCTTCTCCCAGGTGAGCTGGGCGGGGGGTGGTCCGTGGGGTGCCCCTTCTTCCACGTAGGTTGGAGGTCCACAGGGTCCTCCTTCTCCCAGGTGAGCTGGGCGGGGGGTGGTCCGTGGGGTGCCCCTTCTTCCACGTAGGTTGGAGGTCCACAGGGTGCTCCTTCTGGGCAGGTTGGGGGTCCACGTGATGCTCCTTCCCCTGGGGGTCCATGGGGTACCCCTTCTTCCAGGTAGGGTGGAGGTCCACAGGGTGCTCCTTCTCCCGAGCAGGTTGGGGGTCCACGTGGTGCTCCTTCCCCTGGGGGTCCATGGGGTACCCCTTCTCCCGGGCAGTGGGCAGGTTGGGGGGTCCATGTGATGCTCCTTCCCCTGGGGGTCCATGGGGTGCCCCTTCTTCCAGGTAGGGTGGAGGTCCACAGGGTGCTCCTTCTCCCGAGCAGGTTGGGGGTCCACGTGGTGCTCCTTCCCCTGGGGGTCCATGGGGTACCCCTTCTCCCGGGCAGCTTGGGGCTGGAGAGGGGTGTCCATGGGGTGCTCCTTCCCCCGGGGGGTTCTGTGGGACGCCCCTTGTCCCCATCCTCCCCCTAGCTGGCGGCGTCGAGGGTCTGAAATTTCTGCCGCAGGTCCCTGACGAGGCCGTGGCGGGGGGGTTCAGGGGCCTCGGGGGTGTCGGGGGGCTCGGGGCACCTCCTGCGGTACTCCTCGGAGGCCTGGTAGGCCTTGCACCGCTCCACCACCGCCTTCAAGCAGATCTTCTCCCGGGTGGTGGGCGAACGGATCTGCACGTAGCTGGGGGGCTCGGGGGGGGCCGGCAGCCTCTCCAACACCACCACCCGTTGCCCAGGACCCAGGGG